GAAGCTAGAGGTTTTTAGCTTTAAATCTTGTAAATTTCTTTGTGCTTGTACGGAATATTACAAGATGTGTGAACACATATTTGTACAAGGTCTTACATTGACTATAACTAACTGAATTAACTTTCTGAAAGTAATTGAAAGTGAAAACTCAGATACAACATAGTTCAACTGTACAGTAAAATTCGAATGGTATTCGATCCAAATATGAATAATGAAAAGTGTAGATTAATGATGTTAAGATGAAAAATTGAATCCCTACTCTTATAGATTAATCTTTATAGGCCGAAAAGCTTAACTGATAAATCTTAACAGTAATTCATGAAGATATAGAAATGTTCGTTATTTTATAGTCAAACATTTTACTAGTTTTCGTTTGTTTTGTTTAACTAACTTGTATAGTCGTTTTCAAATGATATTTTTCAATTAAATTGCTACTCATCATCAAAGCATAAAAAGCAATATCAAATGAGTCTGTTCTAGATGCATAAAAATGTCAAATAGAGACTAGTCACTTGTAACCCCTAATATTAACAACAAGAACATACAAAATTCTTATAAGAAACTTGTGCATTCTTCATTCGTTTGATTTTCCTCGAGTAATGAAGAGATTCCATTGGTGTCTTTTTATGACCGTTTTTATGTAATAAGATATTATATGCTGAAAACACTTACTTTTATTACGTAAATAATTATAAATACAGAAATTAAGAAATTTATTTCAGGACATGAAGTTTGATTCATCATGTCAAAAGTTGGATAAACTAATTGACAGTGTCAGTGTTTATTCATCAAAATGGTTATGACAGACTTTTTCATATATTATAAAGATTATAAGTGAATATATAAAGCATTAAGAAACAAGTATCTTCAAAAAATAAAACCACTTAAAAAATCCATAGTCTATGTCAAAACAAGAGGATATTTCTTATTTCTAGTGTGATAAAATATCGCAAAGTTCGAATTACATTTATAAAGGATGGTTGCCTACGGTTGTGCAACACAGATCTTTGGATAGTAATCAATGTTGAATTTTACTCAATTTCTAGTGACAATTGTAGTCTATTGAGTAATAGGTAATTTGGATATGAATCTATGAAAAAGTAGCAATTTTTTTCAGAGTTGTAAGTTCGCTTTTTATGATCAATGCCAACAGGACACAAAAGCTGAATCCAAACATATCTATGGGTTACTTTTAGTCGTTTAACACCATATATATGCAGTTATAAATAACAAATATAAAACATAATTTTGTGAGAAAATATCTTATTTCAAAATAGTTTTATACTGGATTGTACTTGTCACCGTTTATTGTGAAAGGAATTTCCCTTTATCAACTATGTAGCTATTATTATAGATTAGGTATAAATGTAAACTTAATAGTGTTCTATCAGCTGTATATTGCTGTAACAAGTGTTACATGATGACTATGATTTTGTTCATACTGTGGTGTGTGCTGCTTATATTGACATAAGTAGTTTTGGTGTTAGTCGTGAACAGAAGATCTGGCATCAGAGAAACAAGAGGATCGAACAGTGAAGAATGGAAACAGAATGCGATTTGTATGAAAATGCAAGAACAATGAAGTCTGAGTCATTTTGAGACAACTGGTGGACATTTTGCAAATTAAGCATTTGCTCTATGATTGTTGGATTTTATTAACAAGTCCTGTAATTTTGTGTTAAATACATTCGATTGTCCCCACTGGTGTTCTTGTTCACTACAATACTATGTAATTTAGATACGAAAAGTCGCCGTGAAGTTTTATTCATTTCGTATTAAATATATGAACATTTTTTGTGTAGTTACAATTTAAACATATTAAAGAAACAATCTGTTCAAGTTGGCGAATCCAACGGAAATAAATTTCATCACTCATGACAACCCGATGATTAAACAAATCTTATCAAAAAAAAAGAAAAATATTGATATAACATTTACCAACTTATATTGTTTAGAGTGTTGAAAAATGATCTAAGTGGTTGTCATGAGACAAATTATGGTGTAAATCTTTAACAGGTTTTACCTTAAAAAAACTGAATATTGTAAGTTAACACTAAGTAAATGTTATAGCCTCTTGATCATGACTATGTTGTAATAATTTCCTGGATATGGTAAAATTACTAGGGGAATAAAGATGATAAACAAGAAAGGTTTGTGTAAATTTGTTTAACCCTTAAGTAAGATTATCAATCTGCACTGATTTATATGAATAGACCAAAGTTAATATCCACCTTCATTTTTCCTACAATTGTATAAAACAATATACACTTATTAGATGAGATTTATGAGTCGGAAATTTAAACGATATAAATAAAAAATAACTGGCAATACTAGTTATTGAATAACATTTTACGTGCATTAAAATCTGTGGGAATCTAAAAAGAATTCCTTACAATTAAGCTGTGTTAATCTATCCTAGTATCGGTATGTACTATTTTAAAATTCTGACTTACCATAGCAGTACATTATATTCAAGGATGATAGTGTTATAATTATGGGTTATTAATATCAATATGAGGATCTGCTGAAACATTTGTTTCACTTATATTCCATTAGGCATTTTATCAATGAAATATTACAAATTAAATAATATGTGATTGTAATAATTAAAAGTTACACCAAGTAATATTGAAGGATCCTGTTTGTGGTCAATAATTGTTTTGAAAAAGTGCATAGAAACGTATAAATAATACTACTCTGAATACTACACATACTTAGTAGGAAATTAAATTTACATATGGATTAAATATGTGAATATTAACAATGAAAAAGTTTTGGATTAAGTTTTCTTTTCTTTCGTTCTTTATATTATGTACATACTTGACTACATTACATGCATGTATTAATTCAGCATTGTAAAAACAATTAGGAATTTCTCAATATGAACTTGAATAGTTCTAGATTAAGATTAACAAATTAAGTAAGAAGAGATAAATTAACTGTACATAGAAAAAATAATTGGGCAAAAGTGTGAATGATTTTGTGATGAAAATGAAATTAATAAATTTTACTCAATCGAAAGATATGATATACTTGTGTTTTTCTCTCCTTCTAACATATCCGAATAAAACATTTTGTAGAAATAACAAAATTCAGCAAGAGATTTATTGGTTTGGTTATGATTAACTTTCATAATGAGAATCAGTGAAGAATTATGTAATACGCATTTGATAATAGTGATATATATAAACGGCGGCATAACTATTTGGTAATATTTTTATAAATGAATACTTTAGGCATTGTATAAAACACCGCTCATAACTAAATACGAGATTTAGTAGGATGTTTAATTATTATCTTCCTTATTTTAAATCTCATTGTTATAACATTACAAAAATTGATTTAAAATAAGTTTTTCCCAAAATAATAACAACATCCTTCATTACAAAATGAGACAGGCTGGAAGTTCATTAAAAACAGAAAAAAATGAGCGACTATTTTGTCCTAGTAAGAAACTCATTAGCAGCAGATGGGCAAGAGCCCATTTGTGAACTAAATGAGGACCTTCAGATTTGCTATAGAGTGTGGTATTTACAGGTTATTAAGTCAGAGTACAAATGGTATAGGCCTTCAAATTCACGATACTACTTTAACTTCTTGTAATGTGTGATCAGAAATCGACAGGATATTTAGTTTTCATACGTTCGAATACATCTAGGGTTTTAATAAAATTCTGTTTTACAGACAATACATTGTTGTCAGTTTTCGCTAAATGAAAGGTTTTATAGTTTCCAATGTTTTTTTGGCACCATTTATAAAAGAAGAGGAGAAACGCAAAGCACCCTCATCGATCAGGTTTCTTGAGTCACGTGTACAGAATGCAAGAACAAATTTGAATAGAAAAAGCTCTAGATTACGTGTATTGTTTTACGATCTGTACTAGGGATAAAATTTCTACTGTAAAAGTTGAACTACTATGACAAAATAGTTAACAAACAGATTTTTGAATATAAAAACTGAAAAGTTTGAATAGTTAATACCCTAAAAAAATTAACAAGCTAATGTCAAAATAATATTTATCATTGCTACTATAGATAGTCGATAGACAACAATATGCAAGAATAATGGCGCTCGATAATCACCAGTCGTAGAAAAAGTCGTTTAAGTCTAAACACTGATCGAAACTTCTTATAGAATGTTCTGTTGTTGAAGAAATTATAGTGTGTGGATAGACATGCATATGACTGTATTATATTTATCCATCCACACCTGGTTGAAACGTTAACTACTGTAGACCACTGGCTTAAAAAATGAAATGAAACTTAGTTAAATATTATTTAAGCTTAGTAACTTAGTCAACACAGTACAGAGTTGGTTACTGTTGAATAAATTGCTTCAAGCCTTTAAATGCTTTAAATATTCTTTTATTAAGATTCCCTTACTTTTATCTTCAGAAATATTTTAAAATGATTATGACTTATTAGGACACAATGAGAAGTATGCTCTGATAAAATGTAATATCATTAGCAAACAACTGAAGGGTGATACAATTACAGATTGAGTTCATCCAATGAGTTACTTAAAAAATCACAATGTACTACAACGATAATTTTCGGAAGCGTGAAAGACTGGATTTTGAATAATTGATTCACAAGCAAAGTGCTCAAACTATCATAGAGCTTTTATGTTTTGATACAGTGTGTTCAATTGTCAGAGTTCACTCATGAGACGATCCAAACTAGGCCGAAACAACTGTTTCATGTGCTTTTTTTTGTTGGTTTTCCAGATGACAACAATTTACAATGAAAACAGCATTTAGAGATCGAAGAATAATATCGATGAGTTTAATCTATTGTTAAACCCTTAGTAAGCAGACAGTTATGAAGACATTTTAGTTATAAAGTACATTTAGCTAGCCATTATCAAACTAAACATAAAAATATTTTTGGTTTGATTTCAAAACAGGCTAGAAGTTTGCCTAATTGAGAAATGAACAGAAACAGTTTCAACACTGTGATATATATATATATATATATATATATATATTCAAAAAAACTTACTTTTCTTCAGATAAGTTTGTGTTTTCTTTCCTAAGTGTTGATAAATACGTTTCCCAAGGTGTACTACAAGTTTCCTATCACAAATAAATAGACAAAATCAGTGACATTAATTACAAACAATAATATTAATGAGATTTGTATGTTATTTTGAAAATAAGAGTCAAAGATGTTCAGAATAAAGCTGTGCTAAATAAAAGCAACAAATGACTGATATTTAATTAGATTATCATATCAGGAAATTAATAAATTGTACACACAGTTTAAAACTGAGCTTCAACAAATATAAAATCTTTCGGTTTAAAATATTTGAAATGGCACACAGTTCATGGAGATGCAGTTATGTTAACTCATTCATCACGTACCAAGATCTTTAATCAACTGCGCGTAACATTTTAGTTGTACAAGGATCAGTGAAATTCCCTTCTTTTGTCCACACTAAAATAGATGAAGTGCGGTTCAAAGCTGGAACCCAGCAGTGAAAAAGTAAGTGCGATATCTCCTTGATCATAGTAAGTGATATTCCGTTTTAGAACAAGCAATCGTTTTATTTTACTGTTACGCTGGACAAACTATTCGATATCAAGCAACATATTATTGGAGGTAGATGAGTGATTAGGTGGAATAAAATAGTTGTGTCCAAGTATTTTCTTGTTGATAAGCATTAGAACCGAGATTATGTATGACTAAACATTTCTTATGGTCAAATCTAGTAGATCGAAAGATTGCTATTTCGACTTCCTAAAGCGTTTCGAAGTTCATATAAATCCATGACCTTCAATAATGTGACAAACTAAATATGGAAATAATAAGACAGTAAGTTTACACACATGATTAATTCAGTTACAAGAGTTCAGAGATACTCTTATGGTTTTCTTTGCTTTCGCCATTCCACAAAATATCTTAAAGCCGGTAATAATTTAAGACTTGGTTAATCAGATTGGAAAAGAAGTGAAATACATGGGGTTGCTGAACAGCTGCCAAAAGCAACGATTTGTTTTAAGTGATTATGTTTTTATCTAGTTTGTTAGGATTATGTAAGCGTGTTTATCATGGTAATTGAAAATTATCTGAGCAATTCATCTTCATTTGATGTTGTTCTTCTGTTTTTAATTGTTGGTTAAAGGGTGAACCAAAACATTATTTGTACAAAATTTAACACAAATTAATTTTTGAGACCAAAGGACATTAAAGGTATATGAATCGAGAACACTGAAAAAACAAACCTTTGCAAATGATGTTGATTATTTATTGAACTGGTTTAAGTATGAAGGCCTAATTTATGAGAATAATAAAATAGATTTGAACAAATAATTCCAATGAATGTGGTGCTAAACACATGCTCGTTTGTTTTTGGTACTTATATAGAGAACACAATGTAAGTAGTAATGAAATTGAAAAAGAGATCAAGTGTGAACAACAAATTTACTGATGAGCATCATAACAAAAAGCTAACTTTATTGAGATCATGAACCGATCTAAGTTGGACAACCAATGAAAACCTGGAAACACTGGTTAGCGGATTCATGCATGCACATTGCTGAAGAGCCCCATACTAGCGTGAAACAACTGTCTAATGCTTCTAGGCTTTTAGTGGTTGTTTAGCCTGGATTGGTTCGTAATACAAAAACACTTAGCACTCTCAATAACCCCATACCGATAAAAATTTAATTATAAAAACGCTTCTAGTACATAAAATTTGCTACTAAAAGTGAAATAAGGAAAACAGGAACTGTATCAATTTTTTATAAGTAGATAGAAACTCATAACAGTTTTGTATTTGTTACAAGCTTACAGAATGAAAGAAAATATAAAGTATGTTTATTCGTTAAGTAAATGAAAAATAACGTCATAGCTCAACGTAATTACATCTTTTCATGATGACATAAACCGGAGAAATTCAATGATTTTTGCTAATAAGGACAGTTCTAAACATCAATGTGAAGATTCAAACAAACATTACATTTAAAAAGAGGGCATTAATGGAAATACTCCTTAATATAGAGACTTCGACGGATTATAACAGAACTGATGAGAAATTATGTAGAATAGTACAACTCAGTGAAGGTACATAATCAAGAATGTTGAAGATTTAGAGATGAGTAATAATTAATCATTAGTTTGAAATTCGCATAGTCGTTCATGTATATCTGTTTTTATTGTATTAGTCTTCCGTGATAGATATTGACTATTAAATTTGATTATTTCACTTGATTTCGTTCTGCATTTGCAATTTGGTTTTATCAAACGTTGTATAAAAAATATTCAGACTGATTACATTATCTATTTATCCATCAGTAATTTGTCACTGGTATTATGCGCAGGGAGATTAAAGCCATTAACGCTACAGCAAAAATGAACTACACACAATAACTATGTGTATGTGTTTCTATGTAAAAATTCAAGTATACACACGCATGTAAACTATGACATGGCAATTATGTTATGAAATAATAAATAATATTCCAGAAAAATGTGATGCATTTAATTATGAATTCAAATAAACTCTTGAGTAACAAGAGGACAAACTCCAATGAAATTACACTTTATACTTATGTGTTTTACAATGTGAACTGTAGAGATTGAAAGATAATATTTATATCAATCTGCAGTTAATTGAAGGAACACTGGATATTTGTTTTATTATAGTTCAAAACTAATCAACAATGAATATTAACGGCCTACAATGCAAGAACTTCACATTTATTTTCTATACACATATTAAATAAAGTTAATAATTTAATCAAAATTATTGGTACAATTATTATTTTGCTATTCGCATGAGTTATTTATTTAACCAAATGATAATTTATTCGACGTTGATAATATCCAGATAAACAAAATGATAATTAAGACTTCCCGAATAATGATATTATTATTATTACTGTACATCAAAATAATCAATGTCTATTCTTATCAGAATGGTCAATCAGTTGTTTTATTTATATGTGTAGAAATAAGGAGAGCATTATGGATGAAAGTATTTAGACTGAACAAATATACCAAATCAGTTAATATATATCTCTGTCTACAGCTAATCTGGTATATATATATATATAACCGTCAATCAAATACCGTTGCATTAATAATTAGTCAGTTTAATAAGTAGAATGTGAAATTTTTTAACTGATCACATGTTGTAAACAATAATCTTTTGAGACGTTGTTCATGTATGAACTAGAATGTACTCGAATCATATATCGTTACATTATTTATTACGATAATAATAGACAATCTATCCTTTTATTTATTTGGAAAATTTTAGATATTCCAAGTTAATTTTCAATAGTATAGTCAAATATTAAGTTTACAACAAATCGAATTGTAATTGAACTGCCTCAACCAGTTTGTTATGGGTTGCATAAGAAATAAAAGAAAGTAATCCATTTCCATGAAATTCATTATGGAAATGATTTTAGCCAGTAATTGTTATATATTTTATACCTAAATACTAAAACAAGCAGATGACGTGAAAAAAGAAAAATCTGCTCTTCATGTATTTTTTTCGTAAAAAGAACAAACACAAGAAAGCAATCCTATTTCTTATAATATATTAACAACTTGAAATCCACAAAGGTTATATCAATATAATGAAAAGGGTATATATGAATGAAATACATACCTTAATTTTAATAATGCAAAAAACTGTCGGGGTTTTCCTCCATTATGAGGTTGAAATGAATATCTAATTCTACGAATTATGGAACTTAGTACAAACAAATTGCATAAAGATATACTATCCATGGGCATAGTTGGAAAAAGAGGAATGTTATCATGTCAGATAACTCTTATAATATTCCCAAAAGCTATGCAGTTTGTTATAGATCTCCAAAGCAGAACAAAATAACTTGTTAAAATATACGACTCCCGGTGTGAGCAAAACAAAATTCATAGCAGGGAGTATGGATTTAAAGTGCATAAAGGAATTATATTACGATATTTAGGGATTTAAACTATAGAGTTTAGAAAATGAAATTTAGGATATTCTTAGTACATTTGTTGTAAAAAAAAGTTCCAGGGAGAGCAATCTAAGATGTAAAACACAATATTGGATTAAAATAAGTGATTAGTTTGGTAGACAGTTGAGTATACACAATAAGATATTGTATTGGTTAGTGCAGTTACTAGCCGAAGAACGACTACTCCGTTCCATCAAGTGACTTAGCATCAGCGCGAATCCACAGTCATTCATGCATTGAGGAGAGAACTCGACCTTTCAATCACTAAATTGGTATTTAACGGTTTACTTCTCTAATTTCAGTTAATTTGATCCATACTAGGATAACATAATAATTAACTAGTGCTATCTGATTTCAAATGGTTGTTGAACGAGTCAGAACACAGTATAAAAAACTACAAAACTTAACAACCTTTAAAATCCCCTATACCGAAAAATGTATACATATTTATCATGGTGAAAAAAGACGAATAAATGAGTCATCAGATTGACTCGAGAGTATGGATTATGAGCATCATTCAATTACTTTCCACTTAATATTTGTATACTTGGATTCTAACAAACAAACCTTTTTTGCCAAATACAATAGTAAACAAATGAAATGCTGTATTCACACATATACATCATTCAGTTGTATAAACGTTATAAAAAAACCACAAATACCTAAAACGCGGGTATTATTTGCAAAATTTAACTAAATTATAAATAATACTATTAAACTAAAACGTTGAAAACATTTTTAAAAACTAACCTCAATTTTCCTTAATACTGAAGAATAATTATACTGAACAGGTGGGATCATTTTTAATGTTTCTAAAGTATAATAAAATTCACTGAGGCCATAAAATTCCATTGAATTGAAGTCTGGATCCAATTGAACAACATCATTAATTGCACATGGTAATGGAGAACAACTTTGATTTAAATTAAGTAAAGGTTCCACATTTTGCATACATTTATCCATATTACCCGTACCCTAGAAATTAAATGAATTTATAAATATTAAAAACAAAAGTTAGTTGGGATAAAAATTTCTGGGATAATAACAATTCTTAACCTCTCAACAAAGATATAACCATATATTCAATGATGACTTGGTTTCATAAAACTTACCGAAATTTACCAAAGAGTTATGACTGGTTGAGTCCACTTACGTTACGAATACAGACGTCATTTACCGGTGATATTGGATGGTTACTGAGCCAAATTACAAATTGACTGAAGTTGCAAATATGGATCACTGGATTCCAACTCATCAAGAGTAACAAATTTTAAATGTGCGATAACTTAATTTCATTATTGTTTTAATTATTGTATATATGAATATGGACTAATCCTATGTGTAACATTAAATTATTAAATGCTTTAAATAAATACAGAGGATTGTGAATTTCGTAAAAAACATTCCCAATGTGCAAGGAAATAAAATACTAAATATAATCTGGATTCTATTTTGAATTCACGACCTGTAAATTCAGATATTTTCTATGAATGATATCAATACTAGAACAAAGGAATTGTGCTATCTATCAAGGAGATCTTCAGGTCTTTCGTTAGTGACCACCTGGGAAAACTAAATGTGGATCAAAAATACCATTTTTTTATTATTTAAGAGAAATGAAAATAAGCTACATATATATACATACTTGGAAAATCTACGTGAAACGTGTAACCTACAAATTTTCATGGTCGGGTTTCAATAATGTAGGTTTTCCACAGAGGCCACCTATTTCTCATTACACTAAAGAATGTTGCTAAGCATGATTCAACAAAAGATAGGACAGATTAACTGAATTCTTTATTCTGAAAAATGTTGTATATTCCAGTTATTCAGCTTCAGATTCATCGTATGATAATATTTATAGGGTCTAGTCTAATATTCCAAGAGTTACATCCTGAAAGTATTTTTCAATACAGAGGTTTTAGTCATTCATAAAGTTAGACCAGAGTTCTGTGTACAAAATCAGTTATTTTGTTCTCTTTTTGGTATAATTAAAGCACATGGATTCTTTTTGTGAAAACAAAATTCACTTGCATAATAAAAAATAACGTCAATCATAGATATTTAAATGAAACTACATGACTAATGTCTATTACATTCCATCAAATGTATAACTTCGGTAAACCTAAACCGAGTTATTTAGTTTTACCATGTCTTAATAATGATTACTTAGATGAAGAAAAACGTGCATTTTGTTTTGTTTCAGGCATTGACATCATATTTTGTGTTTGTATGTAAACAATACAATAGTAGGAAAAACATGCTGATACCGTTGAAATTCTTAAGTTATTCTAATAATCATTGTGCTTTATCATACTTTAAATCATTTCAATAGTGTCCAAGGTTACTAGGCAACAGAAACTGACGTCAACATCATACGATATGAATATGCTTTGAATTTATCTCAATCTGTATGCTGAAAGTATTCTTTTATTATGCGACCATGCAGTCTGTGTAGTCATTATTGCGAATGATTTAAACAATTTTCTACCTTTTAAAAAGCAATATAAACTTGTTTTAAAATATAATGAATAGATGCGCAAATGCTATCCTTTCATAAAGCTTACTGTATACTGAACAGAAAATTTTTCACTCGCTGGTTCAAGCATCTGACCAATAACTGGACGAGGACTAATTTCACTTATTACATTAAAACCTTCGAGTAAGCAAGGATCCTTTTGAAAGTAGAAAGAAAGTTGATATGTTATTCAGTGAGTTCAATTTTATTAAATTAAGCGAGAAATATAATGTAATACAGTTTTTAGGACTAAACTAATCATTCAAAATATCCAGTACTGGTGCAGATCAGAGAAGTCATCACTCATTATCATCAAAAAAACAGATCTATCACTTACAAGTGGATCATAATTTTTTTAAATGAAGTTTCATCTCCTGGAGCGGATTGCTCGGTTGAGCTTTCATTACTCTTTTGAACAACATTATCAGCACAAACTTCAGGTAGACTCTCTATCTAATCAAACTATCGAGCTCAGAGAACGAAAACCCAAAAAATCATCCACCTGGGCTAAAACTATTCACCATCTTAAGATCAGAATCTTACACCGAGTCTTTAGAAGTTATAACGAAGGTATGTGATATCGCAAAACAGCACCCTTCCCTCCCTCCTAGTTGGCAGCGACACCAAATCTAGTGAATGAGGACATAAGTGGGGACCATTGAATGTATTTGATTACAAAATTACAGAACATCTTAGTAAAATCTGTGAACCATACAGTAAATAGTTCATTTGCAACATGTCAATCAACCGTCTCAGACTTCAGTGTTCGTTCGTTTCTACACCAATAATTTTTTGTTCCCGTTCTCTTTTCTTTGATCTTCTTAACCTTCTGCCTCCAGGTATTTCACCTTCGACTGATGATACATACTATTTATATCTGTCAACATCGGTAGCACACACCATAATATAATTAGATATCAAACGAGAAACCATTTGGTAAATAATTCAGATATTCTCACTCCCCGGTGTTAAACAAACGGATACTGTCAAAGCAGATAGATAAAAAGTAAAAAGTGAATTCTTTAAAATGAATGATTTGACCAATAGAGTGACTAAGTTCGATAGAGACTAATTAGCCGTAAAGACGGAAAATGAACTCTCTTAGTTTGGAATGGAATTTAAGCCATATGTTTTGTGCAGGAGTTCGGGATACTAACTAGCCGCTAAAATGGATGTTAGAAGGGTGGCTTTCAAATCTGGTACATAGCAGTTAAGGGTCAAGGTTTTAACCCATTTGATGAGACATCCAGACGAGAATTTTGTATCTGTTCATCTATTGTGTAGTTGTAATTAATTATTATGCATGGGATAGTCTGGCAAAATTCAGGAATTTTTTTATTGCTGCATCGCTGTTATTTGACCTTAAAACCAATAGCTCAGGCATAAAAATACCCTAACATTTACTAACTAGATACATAGTATAATGTTCGATTACACACAGGGATGATAATATAAATGAAATATCTGAAGATAATTTACATTATTAACTGGATTCAGTCATATAACCGTAGAAAACCAAGAAGTACCAGACAAATTTAATCCTAGTATGAGGCTTCCGAATTTTTTACTCATATTGTTAGAAATATAACCAAGGGACTACAGATCGCATAATAAAGCAGATTAATAGACGTTGGGAGCATGGATCACTAGATATCAACTCAGAGGTTTGAAAACGATGCATTAGACACTTAAGGCATCTATGTGGGATCATGGTTGCGCACAACCGATGTAACACAAACTAGAATAAAATAGATATTCAGAGCTTGTTGATTTTAAAAATTGTCTAGTTGAAGTCAGATTGTTATATAGACTATCTTCGAACTGAACAATCTACATAAGTGTTGAATTATTAATGAGACGTTGTTCATGATACGGTCAATAAAATATCTCTTGTAAAGCTTAAACAATGTGTAATATAAAGAACGTTTATCATCATTTCGGTTAACAGAAATAAGAGAAAATGATAAATAGTTGCTATTGAAATGTGTATTTTTTTAAAAAGTTTATACTTTCTATATTGTTTTACTAAGTAGTATAGTTTTCCCCCACACATAACTAACTAAAGTACATTGACTCCTTTTTATACTTGTAGCTTTGGAAAGAATTAATAACACATGAAATATTAATAATTAGACAGTACTGGTTGTTTAGTCTGAATAAAATATATGTATTATGTGTTGAGTAATTAGCTAAATTCAACAGCACGAGCCATTTAATACCAGCACGTTCATAATGACGCATCTAAATAACCTTGTACAATGTGGTTAACCTTAAACCTTGTCGTCCATGTATTGCAACATCCATTACAAAAGAGTTCTGCTTCATTTTATATAATACACAACATATAAATAGTATGTATGAACGTCGTTATTTTTAATTTACTAGTGACTGGAAAATATGAATTGACCTAATGAGTTAAAATCAGCTATGAATGAAAAAAAACATTTAAAAAGTTCATTAATTAGAATGTTACCCTGTTTCTAATAATTCGATAGGTGTATTTAGTTTATACCACTTGATTTTCCAAACCACTCAATAATATAGAGTCAGTTTACTGATATTTTCTCTGTAAAGGAAGTTGTCAACAGTAGGCTATTGGTATATTCCTACGAAAGATGAACTCATGAAATCAATTTATGACCTTTATTAGGAAACGATAAAATTTAGCTCATTATATATGACCAATAAGATTGTTATAATGGTGTCAGGAATGTGCAAACAAAAGTACTCCGTATAATTTATTTAAACAACTTCAGTATTTATCAATGCGATTCACAATTAACATGTTTTAAACTGATGTCTTAGCCGAGTCTATATTCAAAGGGACCTGCAATATGCAGTGTATCTTGATTCATCTAACTTGGAGGAGGCAGAAGAAATTACCTCAAAAATCAATAAATCTCTATCAAACATTAATTAGTTAAGAGCATTATCGAATTCTAACTTGTTGGTATCTATTATGACAAAAAGCTAAAATCAATAGGTTGAAGATAAAGCACTTTGTAAGGTAGGTAATTTTTAAGTTCAGTCAGATTTATGTAAATTAAATTTTGAAAATAGATTTTTAGTTTTCTGTCTAAAATATTGAAGAAACATTGTTGACAAAAAATACGGGGAATAAAAGAGTAACATTTTTTTTTAAAATATTGAATTCGGAAAATCTGTAAAGAAAATCCTTTTACATCTGTTGTCATCTTTAGTTTGTATGAATGATTTTTAACGCTTATCAATTGTATAACAAAGATTAATTTGATTATTTTTATCAAATTTGTAACAGCTGGACAAAAAACAAACGAATAGATAAAATAAATAAACAAATGAAACCTAATTTACAACTGGATTGATTTTCATGTTTTAACTACTGATTATCTACATTCGTTATATGTACACACATATTGTATATTACTTTAACAAGTCGAACTAGAAAATAGCTATTCAAACTAATCACTACTTTTATTTATTCAAGTTTCTATATATATGTGTGTTTTTTTAAATGTTTTTAAATTGCATCTAACATCTAGCAGGTTGAATAAATTGTATATTTCAAAATAATTGTACACAGTTAACCGATAGGAATACAATATGATAAACAACACAGTAACATACGGACTGAAGTAATCATGCATCCAAGGAAATTAAAACCAAGAGAAATTAACAAGAATGATGTATGAGGAGTAAAACACAAAGTAGGAAGAAGAGAAAATAAGAAGTGGTGGAAAATAAATACGTCTGTGAATTAGAACATAGTACAACTTATTTTCGTCACGTTTATGGATATCAAGGTGTTACATTTGATGCCTCTTGGTAGTTGGAGAAAAGAACAGACACAACACAAATCATGGAAAACAATGGAATTAATCTGTTTTGAAGCTTTTTATTGGATGCAAACAGCCCAAATGATCATTAGCTGCTTACAGCTAATTAAAAGCTTCGAAATAAAGTGAAGTCGCTCCTTAGTTGTCGTGTTTCAGATTATTAAGAAAAGTATACATAAAAAGTTGATTTTGGCTAAATTTTACGGCTTAATCATTTATGTTTTTGTTTGTAACCGCTGAATTACCTTACTGAAAATCTTATTGTTTCTTATCCTGTTCAAAACAAAACCTTAAAACCTCAAAATCAAAAAACTCTAGCTTAACTATGAATCTATATCAGAACACTTACGAGTTTAGGATCAATTCCAACATTTAAAATTTTTTGGAAGTCTTTAGTTAACTCAGTCACCCTTGTATTTTTACGTGATTTTGTTATCATTCTATTACCAACTAAAGATATTACATGTATGCTTAACGTTCGTGTTGTATTACATGAATAAATTTCGTGTCTTCTTGAATAAAACACGTTCATTTGAATACGTTACAAATAACATGTTTAATCTTACTGTTAAATAGATAAACTATGAGCAAATATTGCAACACTACAAAAGTATATGTAATTTCAATTGTGAATCAGGTGTTATGACTGATAAATTATTCAACATGGAACGTAACTGAGAAGTATAACTTATAAAAGTTATTAATAATATTAGTTTGTGGGTGAACGAATATTTCTGGTATTCGACCATCCACATATACTCTGATTTTTCGGATGGTCAGCGTCTGACAGGAACAATTACCAAAACCTTCCATGTTAATGATAACCATGTACTCACTAGTAACGTGTCTCAAAAAGAGTTCCAATGAGATATCAAAACCGGTGGAGTAAATTCATGTTGAGTGGAGGCAGGTATCATCAATGGAAATGGATGTTAGTCTTGGGATATCCCAAACTAACTGAAATTGTAAATGTGAACTATTAGTTGGTGAATCAATCGCCTTGTAGTGAGGTGCTCGCCACGTGGCTTAACGGTTTTTATTCCGATTCCCTGCAGGGTCAGAGGCAGATATTACTAAGTAGTTTGAAACGAGGACAAAATGGTTGAACAACGGTTATCTAGCGACGACTAGTCCATAGTTTAACTACCTTCAAACTTTTAATTTGTTGGATTTTCAGAGGGAATAGGATTAATCACGAAACTATTCCTTCAATTACTCATTATAAGCAGCCGTTCGAAGACTGACTAATCAAATATTGAAGTGTTACCTCAATACAGTAAAAGTTTCTCTACTAAAATTTTGATACCTACATCTGTAAAGAAGGCCACAGGCAAAATGAATA